GTGATGGGGGGCCCCGCCAGTCGTTTGGCAGGCAACTTGCTGGAATAAGAATTCGGAAGTTCCCATTGTAGTCTATGTCTTGGATGTCAGTGCCTTCAAGTCGCTGTCTCTCTTTTCCTAAAAATAAGGATAGCCATAACCATACAGTGACAACACGCACCCAAGAGCTTGCTGGAATAAGAATTTGGAAGTTCCCATTGCTCTGGAGTCACTGGAGTGTGACGTGTGCACAAAGCGCACACCACATGACAGGTGCACGTGCACGCACACAGCAAATGTAGGGGTGTTGGGGAAAGCAAATGAGGAGGGGCAGGGGGTGGTGGCATCCCTCGTCTCCTCAACAGATCATGTGTTTGAAAAACATTGTGTGTGTGTGTGTGTGAGAGAGAGAGAGAGAGAGAGAGAGAGAGAGAGAGAGAGAGAGAGAGAGAGAGAGAGAGAGAGAGAGAGAGAGAGAGCACGTGTTATATGACATAAGAACCATAACTGGACATCATTGGAGGGATTCACAATCTGTTTTCTTGAGAGCCCGTTAGTGAACCCAGATTACCTTTGAGGAAATTTTTTAGCAGAGCTATCTGGGGCCACCACTGGTCGGCTCTCGGGCAAACAGCTGCTGCTTCCCTCCAGTGATGTCCTGCTCACAATTTCTTCAAACGCAACTAGTTTCAACCACAGACCTGGCTGAGATGGGAATTCGTCTACTGTCCCAACTAAGGTTCTCTGAAGGGGAACCAAAAAAAAAAAAAAAAAAAAAAAAGGTTCTCTGAAAGGGACTAATGGGCCTAGCTCAGTTGCTACACCTATGAAGTAGTATGAACTGCTGAAATACACACCTGAGTTCGAGTCCAGAAGAGAAGGTTCTGCGAAAGGGACTCGAGACTTGTCATACAGCAAAAGCTAACCCACGGACATCAGTACATGTGGGAAGATCTGCCAAAGAAAAATGTGTGTGTGTGTGTGTGTGTGTGTGTGTGTGTGTGTGTGTGTGTGTGTGTGTGTGTGTATGTCCTCTGACGCACAAGGCTTGCCACGTTGATGAAGTTGAGTGCAAGCTGCCCGCATCCCCGTGTGCCATAACGGCCCACTTGTACGCTGTGAGAAAGAGGCAGAGTAAAGGGGGAGGGGATAAACACGAGGAAGAGAGATGAAGAGAACAGAAACGAAGACCGAAGAAGGGGAAGTAAGGATAAGAAAAGGCTCAAGAATGAGTCCGTCCTTGACGACAGAGAGGACACACATTGTAAGGACGAGGTGGATGGGCACATGGAAGACCTAGCTGAGCATTCTCAGCACAACAATTGCCACGACAGCTGGCATTGACCATGCCCAACATACACTCCCGACAAATGGCATGTCGATTGCAGGCCAAAATGAATGAAGAACGCTCACCACAAAAGACCATGCATTCAGTATAGCTCCCATGGCCGCAAAATGGACATATTGTGTCCGGATGCGGAGGGTGCCTGCAGTCAGGAACGGAAGGACAGTCCTCTACACACATAGATGCATAAACCATGTCATTGTAGTGATTGTGACAGAGACGATGGCGGCCACAGCCGAGTGTAACAGTGTCTGTAGCAGTGCAAAGCAGACGGTCACAGAGTGTTGGTACATTGTCCATATATATTTCATAGTCCATAAAGGTATGGAGGGCAAGAGGCAATCGTGTGTGTGTGTGTGTGTGTGTGTGTGTGTGTGTGCCTCCATATGGTGTGACTGGCCTTGTGCACATGCCACCTCCTGCATATGGGGGTAATGTACATGCATGCATTCATGCCTGTGTTGTTTTTTAACTTTTTCTTTTCTTTTCGAACATCAAAACTCCACAACAATCACCACAGCAGCCCTTTTTCCACCTGTGTTTTTTAACTTTTTTTTGTGTGCGTGCGTGCGTGCGTGCGTGATGTCTAGATTCTAGAGATGATAACTGGAAGCCTTGCCAAGTGATATAGCAAAAAAGAAAAAAAAAAGAAAAAAAGAGAGTAGGATGTTCGGGTGCAACAACCATTCCGCTGCCCTATATTTTGAGCGGTGCACGGCCTGCAACGTCTTTGTACTTGTGTAGGGGGTGGATGTGTGTGCTACGTGCACAGGCGTACCGAGCACAATATCGTTTGCAGCACAGAGGAATGATCACCTACCTATCACTGAATCTTCGTCTGCTGTGTAATTTATACAAGGCTTCAGTCCATTTGGAGCAGGCCTTTCCCAAAGCGTTACTCTTTCGTTCTGCAACAGGTGCAGATGGAGATTGACACACCGACAAAAAATTAGGCAGGGAGGGCAGGGAGAGAGGGAGGCAAACAAACATGCAAACAGGTATGCAGTCTGTGAAACTGACGTCAGTTAAAAAGCAACAGCTTGGATCTTCCATTCACCACCCCCAAAGAAAAGGCCAGACATTCCCCCCCTTCCCCKCCCTCCCCCTCCCACCCCCCTCCTCCTCCCTCCCCCCCTCCGACTTCCATTTATTTGCGGTATGCCCCTCTGACAGCCGACTTACCCTGTCGCGCCCCTCTGACAACAATTGAAGTTTCCGAAAAACCCCTGGCATCGTTTGGGCCTGAAATATGTTCAATATGCCCCTACCGGAACCGTTCCAAATTTCCAATATGCCCCGGTAGCTCCCCTCCCAGGGCCAGGGGAACAGCCGCGAGTGCCACCAACAGCCACAGGGGCATGCTGGAAAGTTGCAACCCTCACTGACAGGAACTAGGGTTTAGGGAGTAGGGTTTATGGTTTAGATCTTAGGGTTCACAGCTTACAGTTTACAGTGTACACCTCTTTCTCTCGTGTCGATTAAGGCCCATTAGCGGAATTTCCCAGTTTCGAAATCGGATATTATATTTTATGATTCTTATGAAAGCTTTAGACGAAAGATGCACTCCGTGAGGTGGTTACATGGACGTAGATGATACATTCGGGACCGCTCTCGTTCCACGTCCCTTGGGATGCTAACCGCCAAACCTCAAATTGATGGGGCCCAGTGGCCTCTCCATCAGTCCCTAAGTGTGGTCAGTACTCATAACGTTCGGGTAGCGAAGCTTACACTTGTTCAATAGTTCGTAGGGTTTACGGTTTAGGCTTTAGGGTTTAGGGTTTAAGACGTAGGGTTTACGATTTAGAGTTTTATGGGTAATGGTTTAGGGTTCAAGGTGTACAGTTGAGGGTTCATTGTTTATTGTGTATTGTTTATGGTTTATGGTTTAGGGTTTACGACTGCAATTGATGGCTCATTGCCGCGGCGGCGGCCCCGGATGCGTTGGTCACAAAATTGGTGATTATGTCCCAATGTTAGGTACTGCATAACTCCCAACAACTAAGGGAGAAGTTTTGCTGGGTAGAATTTTCTCCCCGGGAGAATGCTTGAGGCGCACAGTGGAATGTCTCCCAACAACGCTTCATTTTGAGCAGGACAAAGAAAGATTCCCAAGCAACCGCTGGGCAATTGGCACCTGCCCTTTCCCGTTCCCCCCCCGCCTGCTTTGCTAGGCTACCAGCCGGGCCGGCCGGGTCAACTTGTTTGCCCCGGCGGCCCGGCCGTGCAAGGACCAAAGAAGGTCCCAGAAAAAAAAAAGGAAAAAAAAAGAAATCTGAAAAAAAAAAACATGTTATGCAGAAAAACAAAACACTGAACAACTTTTGCCTCAGGGTCACATCGAAATTCTTYACCAAATTCAAAATAAAAAATAGATTTTTTTTTTTTTTTTTGGCCCCGCCGGCCAAGCGGTCCCGGGCCATTCTGGCAGCCTAGCTGCTTTGTTTTTCCTCTTGGTTAAACAATTATCAAGTCTTACCTCAGGTAAATTTGGCCAATCGACCGGAATATATTTCGCCGTGCTCACCATTTTGTCAGCCTCCCCCGTGTTTGGGCGAGATAATCTTGCATGCCGCTTCATCTGGAGCAAGCAGGAACCGATAAGTCGGATATTTATCTGATTTTTTATTTTTTGATTTTTTTCCCACGGATGGGAAAAAGTTAAAAGGACTCAAAAGGTCCAAAAAAGAAACAGGTAAGTAGGATCTGCGAGGGAATAATCGACGAAACTAAACAAAAAGGCAGGGGAATTTTGTGATTTTTTTCGGTTATTTGTTTTTTTTTTTCAGTTAAAAAAAAAAAAAGGCAACTCAACAAAGGAATATAATAATATGTGTAGAGTCTGTAGACTAATTTATCATTTCTTTTTTGCAGAGTCAAAAATTAAAAATAGAAAAAGGAGAGAGTTGTTCTTGTTCTTTTTGCCTCCGGAAAAAAAAGAGAGAGAGAGAGAGAGAGAGAGAGAGAGAGAGAGAGAGAGAGAGAGAGAGAGAGAGAGAGAGAGAGAGAGAGAGAGAGAGAGAG